ATTCGCCCCTCACTAATTTAAAGAATCACGTGATTTAGCTAGGGGCTTAACCCCTCGCAATATGTTGTGATAGGTCTGAACCCCTCTCTGGCTCTACTCTGTGGCTACGTCTGTGGTGCAGAAGTGGGATTTTTTTAAATTACATTTTGCGAGGGGCTTATCCCCTCACCATTTTTGCGAGGTGCTTAACCCCTCACCAATGATTTGCGATGCCCTGATTAGCTAGGGGCTCTGTCCCCTCGCAAATGTTGGTTTTGTGATGGATTTTTTGACTTAGTGAGGGGTTTAACCCCTAGCTAATTCCAGTTTTTCTTGTAGTGTACCAAGTCTCATGTTCGTTGTTGGATTAAAGCATTAATTTTATTTTTCATGGTACCTCTCTATTCACTTGTTTTGAGTGTTAGAATTAAACATATGTGTGTGTGTGAGAGAGGGAGAGAGAGAGAGAGAGATGATGTTTGGCAGTGAAAAGGTACTTAGGATTCAGTGTGTGAATATTATTCATTGTTCTTATGAACGGGTGAAGATACACATGATGTCGAGACTATATTAATGCATACACATCTATGTGTAATGATAAATCTATGGAGGTTTGAGTGGATGATTGATCATTTTATTGTGTGGATGAGGTAGGTGTATGTATAACATTTATGGTTATAGGTGTAGGAGGAGTAGGTAAGGATGCAATAAAATTTTGAAGAGTGACTTATGGAGGATTTTGGAAAAGGGATGGTTGGATGAGGTTGTGTAAGTATTATTGGATGAAGAAATATGGATAGATTATTATTATTAATTAGGTGTATGTCCGCGTGATGAGTGGGTTGAAAAATATAATTGATCTAATTCGCACTACGCCAGAAATGACTTTTAGCAGCGCAACAAAAGACAGCGCTTTCTAAAAAAGCGCTGCTAAAGGGTCATGAAAAAAAAAACAAAAAAATAGCATACCTAAGACAGCGCTTGTTAAAAAAGCGCTGCTAAAGGGGGGGGGGGGGGTCAAAGAAAGCGCTTTAAAAAAGCGCTGCTAAAGGGGGGTCTACGAAAGCGCTTTTAAAAAAGCGCTGCTAAAGGGGGTCATAAGGCAGACCTATAGCAGCGCTTTTAAAAGCGCTGCTAAATGCCAAAAAAAGCGCTGCTAAAGGGGGTCCTAAGGCATACCTATAGCAGCGCTTCTAAAAGCGCTGCTAAATGCCAAAAAAAAGCGCTGCTAAATGCCAAAAAAAAGCGCTGCTAAAGGGGGTCCTAAGGCAGACCTATAGCAGCGCTTTTAAAAGCGCTGCTAAATGCCAAAAAAAGCGCTGCTATAGGTTTAAGTAGCATAAATTTAAAAAATTTCAATATTTTCACAGAATCAGAACAGTTTTCTTCTTTCTTATTTCCACTCGCGAACGTTGCCCTATTCAGAATTAGAACAGTCACCATCGACGCATTCCGTCCGCGCCTCCGTCTGACAGCCTCCGTCCGTCGTCTTTCCTCTGGTCATTCCGTCGTCACCTCATTCTGCCGTCGTCCGTCCATTGTTACGGTATTTGAAGTTTTTCATTTTGCATTTTTCTGGATTAATGTCTTAGTATTTCATTTTTTTGGATTATATGATGTTAGTGTTACTTCTTTTCTAAGTTTTTGACTTGTTTTTGTTGATACCGTTGATGAAAATTACTCGTTTGATATTGGCTTGAGTTTTGTATACAAGGTGTTTGTTGAAATGCCACAATGAATTTACTTATGTTAACTTTCATTATATCTAGCCGTATACAAGGTGTTTGCTGAAATGCCACACCTTATATGAGTTCTTTTTACTAATAATTTTTATAAGGGAAATACTGCACATATATTCAATGATTTTTTAGATTATGTTGCTTTAGAAACTTCACACTATTTGTGATTTAGATGAAAGCTTTAAGTTTCTGTTAATCTTGAAATTTATTTATTTTTCTTAATCCTTATTTTTCTATGAAATAGTCTAAATTCACAAATAATCCTTATTTATTTATTAAATTTTAAAACATAAATATATAGATCCGACAACTTTTTTGAAATAAAGTTTGTTTGGCGAGTTACACAACATTTAATGAATTCACGTGTCTTCATGAATGTGGATATAGTTTTAGAATGTATAGATCATTCATACAGCTTTATGTTTGTATATGTATAATGATGTTTGATGTTGCAGCATTACATTGTATCAAAATCTATATTTTGAGGGACTATATCTTTCGTCTTCTTCAATTGCAAGTGCCATGATCAATCTTATTCCCGGAGTTACATTTTTAATAGCAGCCTTTGTAGGGTAATTAATAACTAACTTAACTTATATTTGTTAGTCAATCAAAATTCAAACCAATAATAATATGTTTCTTTGAATATTTTACAGAATGGAAAAAGTAAATATTAGAAGTTTGAGAACTATAGCCAAAATTGTGGGGACTTTGATATGTATTTGTGGAGCTTTGTCTATAGTATTGTTGAAGGGTCCAAAACTATTAAATGCAACGATCATACCTTCAAAATCAATCATGGCTGGAAGTGATACTGATAAGAATTGGTTGCTAGGATGTGTTTTTCTTTTGGCAAGTAGTGTTGCCTGGTCATTTTGGCTAATTTTGCAGGTACTTAATTTCAGTACAATCAAAGTCTTAAATAACGGTCTATGCTTACGCGATTTTAGTCGGCACAGGTGTTAGTGGTTGTTGCGGATGTGAATTAACCATAATTAATTCCTTATCATAAAAATCGTCAATAACAGAATCAATAACAAAATCAATATCGGTACCATTAGAGACTGTTTTTTAAAATCTTATTAATTAATACTTATGATATAACTATTATTCTATAAACATATAACATTTCACCCTTATATATTTTTCAGGTTCCAGTTTACAAAAGTCATCCTAATTATTTATCACTGTCAGCTTGGATGTGTTTCATTTCAACATTACAATCAGCCGTAGTGACAGTATTCTTGGAGCCAGACCTTAATGCATGGAAGATTAATTCTCTACTTCAATTTGGTTCCACTTTATATGCGGTAATTTTTCATGATGATACACACCAATATTTATACATCATAATCCTAGATAATTTGTAATAAATATATTTTGTAGGGAATTATGGGATCAGCGGTTATGTTTTGTCTTCAAGCATGGTGCATAACACAGAGAGGACCTCTTTTCTCTGCATTGTTTAGCCCTCTTGTGACAGTGATTGTGACTGTATTGGCTGCTTTGGTACTTCATGAGGAAATATATATTGGAAGGTAATGATAATGAAGATTAATTCTATAAATACATATTTAATTATTAATCTGATTAACAGAAACTTCAAATAATGATAAGAACTGAAAATTTCATAGAAATCTAGTACTTAATGATCTACATGGGCCTGTTCAAGTGTATTGTTACTTATCTATTATTGTTTTTGCTTGTGCTGTTGTTAAGATGAATCATGTTCTATTGAATTAAGCTTGGAAGACATTCAATTGAATAATGATACAAAGCTTGAAGAAAACCGTGTATTTGTGGCTGATAGTGAACTCCATGCAGTCTCATACAGAATTCAATAGTCAAGTAAAGATTGTTAAGTTTATTTCTTCCTAATGTGACATCTGATATTGTATCTATTTGTAAAGTTATCAGATTTGTAATTATATGTGAATTGATTGTATATATGATTTTGTTCTGAGGATCGGACTGTGTTGTAATATATTTAAGCAGGTTTATGTGTATAATATTTCAAAGTGATGAATTATAATGTATACTTTAGTTATTGTGTATAATATTGCAAATTGATGAATACACAAAAATAAGGCCACAATAATTGTTATATATAAGGACAAACTGTTGAACTAAAGACCTGAATTATAAGCAGGGAATGTATTTGTTATAAGCAGGTTTATTGAAAAATATATAAAAAATGTGATTATTTTTATAAAAAAAAAATTCAAAATCGTGAAGAATAGACAGCGCTTTTAAAAAAAGCGCTGCTAAAGGGGCAAAAAGAGGCATAAAAAAGCGCTGCTATAGGTTGGAAAATGAGGGTCTAAGAAAGCGCTTTAAAAAAGCGCTGCTAAAGGGGGGTCTAAGACAGCGCTTTAAAAAAGCGTTGCTAAATGGGGGGTCTAAGAAAGCGCTTTTAAAAAGCGCTGCTAAAGGGGGGAGATGAAGGGGGATTAGGCAGCGGTTATGAAAGCGCTGCTATAGGGTGAAAAAAGTGCTGCTAAAGGCCAAAAAAAAAACGCTGCTAAAGGCAAAAAAAAAGCGCTGTCTTTACCTTTAGCAGCGCCACTTTAGGCAGCGCTTTTAAGCGCTGCTAAAGGCAAAAAAAAGCGCTGCTAAAGGTCTTTTTTGGCATAGTGTCGTGATTTTTTTTGGTTATAAATCTGGTACTTTCTACATGCAACTGCAAAGATTAATTTTTTGAACCATATAAAATCATAATAGATGGCAAATTCTGCTTTAAGAGATTTAATATTTTTGCGTGTTCATGACTGAATTCAAACTCAAACCTCTAGTTAAATTTTAATTAGATGCAATTTTATTAAATTTAAATTTGAGAAAATATATATTTTATATAGCAATGTGAAATATTTTATAGCTGATGTGGCAAATTAATAGTGTGCATATCAGAATTAATATATTATAAATATAATAGATAGATTGTAATAGAAAATATTAACCTATGGAAGTAAAGTCAAAGAGAGTGGAGATGAACAAGAAAAATTGTTAGTGTTGAAAATGTGCATTATCATCATGATCATGATCATGTTTAGTACTAACTTCTAGTAATTTATAACTTGCCACATAATTATTGGATTAGATAGTTACATTCCAAAAGCAATACTCACCACTCGTTCATACAATGATCATCCACATAATCCAACTTTGTTCCCGACATGACATGGCTTTACTTTCCAACTAAGCATCAACTAGATAACACCGTTTCATTCATCAACCCAATCCACATCTCTTACTCTTCATTCCTCTCTATCTATCTTCAACACAATGGCCTCTTTTTCAGCCACTTCTCTTGCCTTTCAACCCTCTTTCCATTTGTCTACAAGAACTAACCAGGTTCATATTTTTTTTATCTTTCTTCTCTCTTAATGCATATACTTGCTTAGTATTTATATGTTGTGCTTTTGTTAAAACATGCATGTAGGTTTCTTACAGAACTTCAAGTTTTGGAGCAGTTTCTGTAGGATGGACAAGGACGAACTTCCGTTCTTTGAGATCCTCCGGTTTTCGCATTTCTGCAGTAAGTTTGATGCTCTTGAATACATTTTTTCTGTCAAAAAACTTGCATGTAACAATAGAAACTTTGAATTTTGTTAGGTTCAGGCACAACCTGAGACAGTGCAGAAAGTGAGCAAAATTGTGAGGAAACAACTTGCTTTGACTCCTGAAACTGACGTTACTCCAGAAACCAAGTTTTTAGATCTTGGTGCTGATTCCCTTGACACAGTAAAAGTTCAACTGTTGATTTCTTTCAAGTTGCAACAATGTTTCTTGAATGTTTGTGGTGCTGACGTTAGAGCTATGGTTTTTGTGATATTGCAGGTGGAAATAGTGATGGGCTTAGAGGAAGAGTTTGGGCTTAATATTGAGGATGATAACTCTGAAAACATCACAACCATTCAAGAAGCAGCAGATTTGGTAGAGAAACTGATTCAAAAGAAAGATGAAGCTTAGCTCTATGGGAAATACATTGAGAGTTGAAGTGCAACTGAGTTAGGATAATCATATTTTGGCCTGCTTTTTTGCTTATGAGTATTCTTTAGGAAGGAATTTGATTTATTTTCATTGTAATTTTGTTTAACTTGAAAAAAAAAATAATATCCCATTTATGGACACTTGAAAATTTTATTTTGTTTCAACAGATTATGCTACTTGTTGTGAATTCAACAAGATAAAGTGGAAAAAAATAATGGAAATCAAAACTAAACACCCCAAAAATCTAAAGATTTAAACTAGAAAAAATGTGAAACTTATGTGTAGAGAAAACAACAATAGATTTAAAAACAAAGATGAAAATAGTAGATGATTCTCACAACAATATTGTTTATTAAATTGACTTATGTATGGAGGAGAGAGATTCACTATCAATGAGTCTTTACAAGACATACATAAAAGTTAAGAGAAATTAGCTTTCATAGTTCAAGGTGAACAAATCCTAATTTATATAATTTTTCTTTCTCACAACCCCTAATGATTATTTTGCTTAGGAATACAATAGATAAGGTTTAGGTTCTTTCCTTAATGATTCCTAACAATCGAACAACTTCACCAAATATACTCATTTTATCTATTTACATCAAGTGTACGGACGCGCATTCTTTTCAATATGTTTAAATTTGATCAAAAGACCAACTTTAAAGTCAAATGTTTATTTAAATATGACAGTAGAATAGTCAAGAATGAAGTTGAATAGACTCTTCCTCTACAAAAGAGTTTTTAAAAAGTTTTTAAAAATTAGAGTTAAAGTGCGCGGAAGCGGAAGTTTAAAAAACATTTTAAAAAAAGATTACTCAATCAAATTTATGTATGTATGAATTAAATGACAACTAGATAATAATGAATCAACTAATCAACAATATGATAATTAATCAAATTTGATTCAACTAAAGACGTTTGAACAAAATTTGATTAATTGATACAACAATCTACTAGAATTATAGTTTTTCAAAATAATCACTAAAAATAAATGTTTAATAGATTAGATCTAACACATACCTTAGCTTAAACATTAAATATTTATAAGCAACAAAATCTAATTTGATGCAAACTAGAAAGCAATTGAAACTTAAGAGTGTGTGAATTATATACATAAATTAAAAGAGGGAATGGAAAGAGAAAATATACATCAAGATTTATATTAGTTTGGTGTGTTGCCCTCGCTTGCACGTAGTCCAGTTTTCAAAAAAAAACAATCAGAACTTGTTGAATCTTCCACTAATAGAAAAATTGCAAGTGTCTTTTGATACAATGGATAAACAACACGTTTCTGAATCTTAATTAAAGCTAATTGCTAAACAACACGTTTCTGAATCTTGATTCTCATCAGACTGCAAATCCTTTAAGATTTTCAATCTTAAATCAAACCACCTTCTCAGAACCAAAGCACTCTAAAAAATTTCCCTGATGATCTTCACTTAACTCTAATAAAATTCTCTTGTCTAAATCTTTGAACTTTTTGAATGGTCTAGAAACTCCAAGACCACTTGGAGATGAAACTCTTCTTTTTCTTCGTTGGATGTTAATCTCCAAAAATCACAACCACAATCTAATTTTTCAAACTGAAAAACAAAAAATATTCACAAGAGTATTAAAACACCTAATGAATCCCTTCATGAATAGATCTCATAATTTTATTGGGTGAGAATATATACACAAATAGGTCTAATGGGGTTGAATAGATTTATCCCAAAAAAGACAATTTCAAAAATATTTTAGGCCCCATAAACAAAACCAGAGATTTTCATAAACGCAGAAGCAGAACACAACACTATGAGAACTTGGAATCATCCCAATGAATTAAATCAACTGAATTATTACAAGATATCACTAAAGACTTTATTACTGATGCGTCCGCAAGTGCACGAAATATCGAAGTAATATAAAAGATTTGTCGAACCCACAGAGACCAATGTCAACCTACCGTTATCTATTGTCGCAGTGTAAAGCTAAGGCTAATGGAATTAGGAAAGTTAAATGCGAATGAAATTAAATACAACGGAAATAAAGATTATTGGTTTAAGGAAGAGCGGTAAAGGGATATCGGTATGTAATGCTTTAGTTTTCAGGGATTCGACAGGTCGCTGGTGCTTTTTAGTCTTTGCAAACACTTTTCAGGAGAAAATACTCGTTTAAAGACCTTTGTCTCACAATGGTTGTTGACTCGGGTCATAATTCTAAGACGGAATGTACACTCTCGCAGTCCCATTCGGGGTTTTAACTACTTTTTGAAAACAAATAAATTCTGATTTCTTTTAAAGCGCTCTCGCTGTGTTTAAAATCAATGCCTAGTTCTTACTATCTGGTTTGAACCCCATCTTTCGCGTGTCGGCTCGTGCCTTAATGAATTTCCCACTTTCGTGGCAAAATTACTGTAAATAATTTCTCGCTTTCGCGACGAAGGTTTATTTAGAAGATTTCGATTAAAAACTACGGCCAAAAAGGTGTTTGTAAAAGGGAAGGTGCACCGGGTATTATCGAATCCCATCCTACTAATTCGATTGCATACCGATAAAACTAATTTAGCTAAACATGATAATTAATGCAAATGGAAATAAACATAAACAACACAATAATAAAATATGCATTATGACAGAAACAAAATAAATATTCAATTAATAAAAACTTGTAAATCTTACTGATCTCGTATCCTCGAGTAGTCCTCCACAATGTCGGCAGGATTCTACCTTGGCGAGAAGTAAAGGTACAGGAAGGAAGTAAAGCGGTACAAATGAAAATAAAAAGGAAAGGAAATGGGAAAATAATGCAAGAACGTAAATTCGACTTCAATGGAAATTTCGGCAGCACTTCGATACATCGAAGCCCCCCCCCCAATGCTGTGAATCTCAGGCCTATTTATAGGGTATTTTCTTTCTCAACTTTCAGAGATCATGCATGAGTTATGGAGGAAGTGGGAGTAACTTCCAGTAGTGGGCAGTTAGTGGAGAAAGTGTAGGGAGAAATTAAGTTGAGAGTGATTGTGGCTACTTCTGATTTGGACGTCATTCTGATATTTGGTTCATGACGGTCGTGACACTCTTGTGACGACCGTGTTGCACGTGACGACCGTGAGGAAGCTGTGACGAGCGTCACACGCACAAAATCCATTTCTCTGTTATTTTTTGTTTTTCTTCTCTCTTTTCCTTCCATTTCTTCTTCTTTTCTTTCTTTAATCCAAATTCTCCATAATCTGCAAAACATAGTAAGTTAACCGTATGAAGGAACATAAATCCAGATAAATTAACAATAGTCACAATTAAATGCATGTAAATCAAGTCAAATAAACGATATGATTTCGCGTTATCAATTACTTCGAATGTAAATTAATTATAAGATAACCAAAGTCACTTTTGACAACACAATTTAAAAACACTTTACATAGATATTCATTCAAGACATAATTGAACTTATGATGATCCAATAAGATTAATGCATCAAAGACCCAAGCTTATACATTAAATATCTATAAGAACGATTTAACGTAAATGACATACAAATGATACAATAATGCACTAACACAATAGCAATATTAATGAATGCTGAAAATTAAAGGAGGTAAGGAAGGAGAGGAAAGATACACAAAGGTATAAAGTGGTTCAGTGTCGTCCTCACTTTTTCTACCCCACTCTTAAATGGTGTTAAATAACCATTGGGATAAATAATCACGATCTTCGACTATTTTAATAAGTTTGATACAAACGTTTTGATTACAACAAAATATCACATGATAGTTCTCTTTGTTGATGCAGGGACTCAAACTGCTAACAAAAAAATCCCCAAAGATCTTAATCCAATAACCTTGCTATCCTCAATAATTATGTTCCAAGTCTTTGTATGTGGTAATCCACCTTGATCCCGATGATTTTTTTTCCGAGCGATTGCCATAGCTAAGCGTTGATTGGACAACTTCCAACATTGTCTGCAACCGGCATTTCCACAATCTCACCAAAGTTCGACATCTTGCAACTCCGCCTTATGAACAATTTGTATTAGGCTTCGCCAAACTTTTTTGTGGAGTATAATGAAAATTTCTTCTTGATAAATACCAATAAGATCCAAAATGTATTCAAGAAATGATACATGCACTTGTTACAAATAGCAAACTCCACACAAAAACATTAGATACCTTATGTTGCACCCCAAATTTTGACCCCTTAGATCCTCATTATCATTTTAGGATCATATTCATTTGGTTAACTAACCTTAACCCATTTCAAGTTTATCTTTGTCAAGATGCAGATAAATCAGGGTTTCGTACCGTCAAAATCGAGGCTTCTGTGGTTTGATCAATCAATGTGTTGGATTGATTCAACTATAAACAAGATCAAGGATACTACATGGGGTCAAGTATGAATCCAATTTGAGGTTGTCACCCAGGAATTGAGAACGGTGCAGTTCAGGATACCCGATTAGGGTTTTCGATCAGGAAAAGTCAACCGTAGTTTGACTTTTGATTTAAAAAGTGTTCCAATGGTGGGATCATGGTCCATGAAGTTCCTATGGCTTAGTAAAGTCTACTCAAGAAGCTTCAAGGCTTCAAGATACCTAGAACACCAACAGTCGATTCAGAGTTCTTCAATCAATCGGTTCGTCTGACTGAAAAGTCAACTCATTGACCAACATGGTTTTGACCCAAAATTTAATGCAATTATGTTCCTAATGGTATATCACATCTATTCATGAATTTTGGTGACCATTGGATCAAGAATTAATCGAAAAGTTGGGAAATTAAGGTTTTGAAAAGGGCAAAGCCATAACTCCTTAACCACACAAGGGTTTTTGACCTAGTTTCAAGGGGAATGAGTTCCTAAAACAAGCATAAATATTGTAGTACCTAATTGGGGATTTTTAAAAAGTACAAGTGGGTTCCATAACCCTTCCTGGTTAGAGAGAACCAAGATCCACAAGTTGGCAAAAACTCACATTCGCAAAATTAGGTCAGCATGAGTTTTTTTATT